TGCCTCCCCTCTAACTCCTCCAATACTGGATAATGCACGGGTCCACGCCACGTCCGATACTGATCCGACCAATTACGACCCTCCGTCTTTCCAAGGGCAAATACTACTCCCCGTCGAGGATTCCATGCGACCGATATTCACCCTGCTCTACAAGCCATATATCCAGATTGAGCAAAACCTCCTCAATGGTCCTACGCACGAGTGCCTCTATCAAAACTTTTGATTATTCGGTGGCAACGTCCGATATCTTACCACCTCTCATCATATCCAAGTAGGGCCAACCCTGCTTTGCGCAAATTCCGAAATTTTTATGACCCCCTTTCTTTTCGGAGGGTATCGGTACGACCCCCCGCATCAACTATTATGTCTTTCACATGATTTGATGCTCATCATTGATGTAAGGGCAGTCACCGACATGGAGAAGTGGTAAACCGTGGTCAATCCGCGCGCTCTGTCTCGCTCAGAGAAGGGAGATCGAGGCAACATAAAGTTTTATTCATTAAATAGAAGGGATTTCCAAATTTTTGCGTAAGCAATACATGACAATAATCACAAGGGCTTCTACTTTCAAATGCACACCAAGTTTTTTTTTCAATCTTCTCTCAATTTTCCTTATTTTATAGTCTGAAAATCTAAACCTCGTAGCAATTACGTTGCAATCCAAACCCCTCCATTCAGAAGGTTATATTGTTCTTCAGAAGCGGTCTCATGGAACCGGACACCAAAATTTTACAAATTCAAATTGTCCTCCTCCCAAAAAGTATCTGTAATGTTGCGGATGTTCAGTATTTCAAAAAGTCGTCCCGTTGTTCCGTTTTTTGTGCACACGCGAGTTTTCGACATTCAAACATTAATAGCTTTCTTAGTACCCAACTTTTTTGCAGATGTTCAAGGTTAGTTGGAAACTAGAAGATTAGCGCTTTCGAACAAGCACCTAAGATTTTTCCAGCGATCATTTTCTCAAAAAGTAGTCCCGTTGTTCCGTTTTTCTACCTTGCTTTTTTTCAAGCCACTTTCCTGGACCGCGACTATGCAGTCTTCACAAGCCCATAACTTCCTTCAGAATTGATGTGATGAGAAGCAATAAAGTCTGCTAGAATCTACTCGAAGAGCACTTCGGAATATATAAAATTCCCCTGAAGTTCTTTCTTCTGCCTTAATTTCCTAAGCGGTTTCTAGAACTCAATACAGCAACTTCGCTACAATTTGTTCCGCTTAGATTTGATTTGGCATCATTAAAATTTTCTTTGTAAGTTTGTTTGCTTACGGCCCCTAACAGAGAAAGCGATTTTGTGGGAAAGCCTGCTCGGGTATACGCCGCGCACCCGTCTGTGGTTAGAAATCGCACTCGCCATTTGAATGTCCTCCATTTTCCTGAAGAAGGTGTTAGCATCGCGACTGAGTTGCAATGTACTGTCATGTGGTACCCTTCTTTCAATCCCCCATGAACTGCTCTACAATTCTCCTTGGGATTTCAGGAATGTTCGATCATCGAAGAAGACCATGTTTTTGCAGTACGCTGTTACAAAGTTTTTCGCTATTGTAATCTTGATCTATGCTGTCAAGTGAAAGCGCCGTCCGTTTATTAAGGATATTCATGGCTGAGAGTGAGATTTATAATGTTCTGCATGCTCCAATGCTCCCATGGAGTTCTTGTTTGTGTGACTCTCCGACAGCTGCGCGGTGCAAAGCTCCTGGAGAACATTAAAGCGTGAAAGTGCACGGCCGGACACCGCACTTTTCAAGCCGTTTTGCAGCGCCGTCTCTCTTGATACGACCCCCTCCCCTCTCGTTTGGCAGAATACGACCCCCTCGTTGTTCTTTGCGCAACGGCCGGTTGACCCTTTATCCAAGGCTCTAGCTTTCGTTACAGTAGCTTTTTGGACAACTGCTTCAAAGCTTATTACGTGCGATTCTAAGCCAAGTGCATCGTTAATATCTTGGACTGTTCCCGCGACTTTCAGGTCTATCTAAAGGTAGAGAAACAAAATCGTGCCAACTTGTTCATCGAGCATACTGCATTTAAAGCTCTAAAAAATTTATAAGAAAATGTTCTAAAGCAAAGCTGAGCTGAGCGTTGGATAGAGCTGGGAAAGCTCTTCAAGACGGTATCCATACCGGCCGCCTTTTCGCTAGATTTCAATTGAAATGTAGCATTCAAATGTGGAGTGTCGGAAAATGACAGAACTTTCTGAAACACCTAATAGAATCGTCCAGAACTTTCTTTTAGACTTGGCATTGTTGGATCAGATGAGTACTTGACTATAGCCGTCAGGGCGAGGTTGAGGTCGAGAGGTGGAGGTGGCGGTGTTCAGTAAGCACAAGCTAAGCCCCTCGCGTCAGGGCGGCGTTGATCAATGGAGACCTGGTAGCATATCTTTATCGATCGACACCGTTAGGTGGTTTATTAGGATATGGAAATCGTCTACAGTACTGTGGAGGCGTTTGAGCGGTTAAGTCACATTTGTTTCTGACTTTTCAGGCTCTGACGAAGGCGAAGAAGCCGAAACGTCAGACTAATAAAGTTACCTAATCTTGGACGGTTATAGTCAAGTACTCATCTTTTGTATATAATTGTGTGGTTTCATGATTTTATGATCTTTGTTTGGTGAATAATCCATTTGATAAAAAATGACTGGATTTCTAGTCTCACGCACAGCCGACAAGATCCCTTTCAAGGTGTTCGCTATCCGGAGGATGCCTCGTCAGACCCCTTGCCTCGTCAGACCGCAGAACACATTGTGGTCTTTCTCGTGGAGGTCGATCACTTACTGAAGCGAAAGCGCGGTGGTGTATAATGTTAAAAACGTATCCACCACGATCCAATGAGGACCGTGATAAAATTGGCCACAGGTTTGACAGTATCAGAATGCTTCCATGGAACGGGATAGAGGAGAGAAATATCGAGGGCTTGGACTACGTGCCGCGAACGGAACTCGTATGTACTCGGCGACGAAGCCTTTGATATTTTCGGTCACGGTCACGCTTTTATAAGAGAAAAGTCAGAAGTAATTACGAAGAGGTTTGAAGAAAATAGCAGAGCAAGACAACGCAAATCGAATATTAAGTACAATCTCCTGGCTCAGCAATGAACTAAATCTGAGTATCGTGATTTTTTATAGCACAAGAAGAGGATCCCAGGTCGCCATGTCCATTCAATAAGAAATTTATACCACTGGGTGCGCCTTCGATGCATTTAGCGGATTTGGAGGATCCCAGATCTATCATCCAAATCTGCTGAGCGATTTTTTGAGCCGAGTTATAAAGCAGAACAGCTTGAGGGAATCCTTCACGAAAATTCTTGCATTCCCTCTCGACATGAATGTGTCAGTTGTGACCACCGGAACAGCACACAAAGTTTCACGCATGAAGATTAGGTTTCTGAAGAGAAACAAACGTACAAAAACCACACGCTATGGTCTGAGCTCAATTTTCCACTTGTAGGGTGCGACTTCGTCTCGGCTTATCCAGCTGCAATCAGGATGATATGGAATTTATCAGTCATTGGTGTCTGTATAGCAATTATTCTTGTCTACGGGTGCATCTCCCTCACAATGTGGTTTAGAGGTAAAGTATGGCTTCAGACAAAGCTTAAAGGCACATTTCACGACAGCATGATATGGATAGAGGTTTCAGTAACGAAATCTGAAAAGTTTGTTACAAAAATAAAATGGTTAAACTGGGAGAAGCCGCGCTTGACCCCAGAAATAATTTCTCGTACGACAACCAATTTTAAGCGTTGTATGTATGAGCTCAGAGGTCTCCTACTCGAATGACTGCCTAAAGAATGTCACAGCTACAGCAACGCAAACGCTATTCCCGCACAATTTAGGACCAAGTTTGACAGGTTGGGCCGCTGCACGAAATGAAACTCTGCCCAGGGTCAACCGCACGTTCGCACTATTCGTACAAGGGAGTCGCATTTGCGATTTCGGGAAGGAAGGTCGCATTTTGGGGTTGAGCAGGGTTAAAATAGTGGGAACGTTAAACGGGGTTGTGTTTAGACGGGACGAATTTAGTAGAAGTTCACCAAATTAGTGAGAATTAGGCAAAATTTGGTGAATTTGTCGCACCATGATACCAATTTCTCCCTCCTCCGTCCCACACCCCACCCCCGATCAAAGACTTGAAAAGGAAGTAGGGCTGTGTCGACTGGTCTTAAAATTAAAGGAAAGAATCAGGATCACATTGAAGGGTTGGTTCCAATCAAATGTGAAAGAAGCGATGGGAGGTGGACTGCCAGTGAAGAAAAAGGAAGAAAATTCTCAAATGCACAGGAAATACAAGCATTTTGCTCAATGGTAAGGAGAAGTTCGAAAAACAGGGAGGGAGATGAGAGATAATGTGAGCGCAGAGGGTGGTAGAGAATTCAGAGAAGAGAGAGCATACGCCGCCAACAATACAACGATCGTGGGCGGACCATGTTGTGTTTGGTAGAGTGTGTTAGAAGTTCATGACGCCTAGGGTCCTGGTGACGGGTTTCGATGAAAAAGGTGGCGCTAACTTTGCAGTTGCGTATTCTAGCCATGGTAAGGGCTTCTTTGGTGGGTCTGAGCCCAAGCTTTGCCTTCGAATGCTATTGAAACAGCCATGATGGTGAGGGTAGTGGTTGGAGAGGGGGAATAGGGATTGTATCTGCTAGATCATCTGAAATTGGGTGGTGGTAATGGGGTCGCATCTGGACCACTAAGGGGGGCTGCAAAATTTTTGAAAAAATGCGAACGTGACGCTTGACCCTGACTCTGACTACGCCTACGATGGAATTCGCTTGAGTCGACAGTATCGCACCCGATTCAGGGATCTCCCTGGCGATTGTGTTTCTTTGCTTTGAGTCCAAAAATCGGCGGAAAATCTGGGTCTGCGCATCCGCCCATTCTATGAAAACGTAAATCCTTCGAATGAAGACGTTGGCCGCAAAGCCTATCGTGAAATGTGCCTTTAGGTTTGAATAAACTCTGATTATTAAGCCTGATCATGGAAATGTTTCAGACTGGCAAAATATGCAAAAGACTGAAGGAGTCTGTAAAGTGGATCCTTCATTACGCTACCAGCGGAAAATGATACGAACTTTATCTGTTCTCATGACGGCTTTTCTCTGCACGGGGTGAGCTACGCTTGCCAATGCTGTTCTCACAAATCTCGTCAAAATTTGGCGGTCGATGCCTGTGAATCTGAATTGGAAACCGCCCAAGAATTTTTTTCGCTTCATAATATGAGGATTTTTCCAGTTTTGCGAGCTCATTATTGTTTCTTGCTTCGGAAATGGTGCCTTTCTTGGACGCCGACAAGGCTCCCTACGTCCGGACCATTGCAGTGGGTTCTTTTCTGGAATGGACCACCGTTCCTGAATTAGTAATTTCTCTGAAATTGCCCATATTACAGGCTAAGCTCGGCTTGATCTCGTGTGCTCAGAATTTCTATGTGTATAACACGATGAGCAAGGACTTTCAAAAGGCGTTCAAGAAGATATTTGCATCAATGAAAAAGTGGAAAAAAGCGAAGCTGCACGTAGTCAAACCTAGGAAGGTCACGACAACTGCATTTACCTAGGTGATGGGGATAAACCTACGTTCTTTTAAAAATAAAGTCCCTGCTAATATTATAGGATATTTTGCGCAAATGCGTCCAATCTAAGCGGAACTGAGTTGAGTCTTTTGATGAGCACTTGAAGACACATTCCACGACCACTATATTGTAGTTATTTAGCTCGACAGTGAAAATACAGGTGCAATGGGACCTCGGTAAACAAAAGACGGTGAAGAATAGACCGAAACCCTGTGAGTGCGATTCTTCTGTTCTATGAGATTGGCGATATGCACGACCAAGAGACACTGAATGCTGAGACGGCACAACAGACTTTTGGGCGAGCGAGATAGAGAGAGAGCACAGAGATGAAAGAAAATCGGAGATGAACGCACCATGTTACGCATGCCTGCTGCTACAAGAACGTTGGGGTCTGCTTCTCATCCTTGTGCGCGTCTGCCGTGAAATGTGTGAGTACTCGCGATGCGCGCGGTCGCATGTGTAACCCTAACCCTTTTTTGCCACAGTCGCAGGGATCGCGGTACCTTTGAAGTTGCGGATTACGGCATCCATGGAAGGAATTGTTGCAACGAAAAGATCGTGGAATGTGCCTTCAAAGCTGCGTTTATACCCGGCGAAAGACGATGACATTGCATATGCCACGGATTTCATGGCAGTAACGCCGTCATGCACTCCGCTTTTTCCATTTTCACATCTAAACTTCGCGCTGTCGCCGAGCCCCGCACGATGGTATGAGCGAAATTCAACAAATTAGGCTGGTACGCGATCTGATCGCAGGTTCCGCTGATTTTCGCGATTTGCGCGACAGGCGACGGGTCACAAAAATCAAAGGTGCCCTATCAACACTGCGAAGTGTTCTCCAATCTCGCCGCCAATTCTGCTCGATAGTGGTGGCTGAGTGACAACTGCTCATGATTCCACTTGCCACATTCAGTGTTTCAAATGTTCAAATGGGGCACTTGCAGTTTTTGCTATCCGTGCACATTTCGCGTGAATCGCGAAAATCAGCGAAACCTGCAACAGTTCGCGGACTCTGACACCAGCCTTACCACTGGGTATTGTTGAGTATTGTTGCTATCACTACCTTTGTAACTACCATATATTTATAAATGTTCTTGAATTTTTGTCACATTGTGAATTAGCACCCAATGTCTCCATGTTGGAGTTCTTGCATTTACACTCTTGAAAAACTAATTAATAGTAACTCATTTTGAGCAATCTTTGCTCGTTGCCGTCATGTGGAATGTGCGAAACTGTTCTTATTAATAGGTTGAGTCACGATTCCTCGGACATTCTCGGCTGTCTCTATTCAGAATTGCTTTTTTTTTCGCCAACAGTTGTCAGGTTAATTAGAATCAGTGACTGAGATATCAAAAAAAAGTTACGGAAATTCGCAAGAAAACAGCGAGAGGGATAATGTGTGTGCAGATGGAGCGATTCCTACAACCAGATGCTTGTATCCCAAAGATCAAGATGTTCGGAAATCACACATATCCGTGGATTTAAAGGCAAACCCCAGGATTAGCCCGACTAGTAGAAAGGATAGCACGAGGAAAAATTGGGGGTACGTACATTCACAGATCACGCCAGCTTCGTTGCCCAAATTACGCGATTAGGGCGCTCATCCATTACGAACCCGCAACCATGGACCCTCTCCGCAACGCTTCCCAACCACAGCTAACGACATAGCGATCAGCGTGCTCTCTCGAACCGCCTGCTCTCTCGCATATCTTGTCTTTTCTCCTGTCTCGCTATCGTACCACATCCCACGTTACAGTAGGCTGAGGCCTTAATTTGAGCATATTTCCCTAGTTCTCCTTTCCACTTTCAGTTTTATCCCGGGACTTGCCTTTGGATAACGGAAGTCTCAGTCAGACCTTTAGAAAAAGTTCTTGCAAGCATGAAAAGAACTTAGTTCATCCACGATATAATTTATTCGCGCCGCAGATTTGTGCAGCGATTTTTTTCAATCGCGCCGCAGACTTCTGCAGCGATTTTTTTCTTACTGTCCAACGTGCGGAGGGAAAACACATTGCTTGCATGAATAGTCAGGCGCAAACTTACACGAGGGATCTTTTGAGCCAGTCGTCTTATACGCTCACCGCACACTCCACCGTGGTTGTTCATGGCGGTCATAACCGCCACTTTACGCGAGCGATCCTTGCGAGTCGCTCGCGTAATCGTGGGGCGGACCGGTGTGTTACTAACCCGAGTTACAGTGTTTTCACTCACACCGCACGCTAAGGCAGTTGTCGCTAAAACCGAGTTGAAAACGGTCCCACGAGAAGTGGCCCCGAGATGTTCTCTCAGTTTAGCGAAAAACCGCTTTACATTGGCGATGACGGCCTTCGTTTCCGGGGTGAGCACGGGGCGTACACCCAAATTTGCCTCCTCATTCGCTAGCATTTCAAGCGAAATAGAATGAAATGCAGCGCAGAGGCAACCCCCGCGTTTAGCACTTTGCTCAGCAACTGGTCGCGTAATGCCAAGCTCCTAAAGGAAATCCATTTAATCAAGGTTTGGCACTAGAAGCGTAGCTGTTCATAAACCTTTCACCCCCACATGTGCACGTGTTCCTGTCTCTCCCGGCTGAACTAACAAATGCGATCGGCTGGCCAACTAAACAGGTTTTCGCTTGCTTATTACTTATTCTGGGAAGAATAACAATATTCAGTCCTACGGAATTGATTGGTCCACTCATCATGACTTTAGTCGAAAATGAGCTTTGAGCTGAAGTTGATTTCCTTGAAGAAAGAACCAAGTAAAAGTTCAACCGAAGCAGTATATAAGTAGTATAGAAGTATACAAACTGGTGACCGCAATAAAAACTACTTTAACGAGTATTTTTTGACTGAATGCATGGTTATGCTTAACAAACTACCTTTCACAAAACAAAACTTCATTGAAACATTTCTATCACCAACTAAAGTGTGACAGGGTCACTGAATGGGTGCCAAAAGGACATCACAGAGAGCAAAACAGAAAAACTCTCTCAACAAAAGAGCGCATATTAGTAATAGAAAAGCTGCGATGAAAATGAAAAGCCGACAGTAAGCGAACAATCTGCAACATTTCCTCATGTTGCATGCTTTTTAGAGATCCAATGGTGAGAGCACCAAGCACTACTGGAAAAAGTCATGCACAACAAGCGACAAGGTGCTTTAAACAGCATCAAATGATGTTCCGCACAACAATAGAACATGCAAAAGCATGCTGTAGAGAAGAACGAGTCGAAAGGAAAAAGGTAAATTAAATAAAAAGGAACCTTGAGCAACAACGCAAAAGGACTGCGGCCTGCAGCACTGCCTTTGAAAAAGTCGTGCACAAAAGGACAAGTTGCCTCAACAACAGCCATCAAACAATGTTCCGCCACAACAATGAGAACAATGCAAAGATGCTGTAGTAAACAACAAGTAGAAGAGAAAAGGCAAGTTAAAATAATAAATAAAAATACCTCACGATACAGGCAAGTCCATGCAAGATGCGTTTTTTCTAGAATGCAAAGCTTCATAGCAATGTTAAAAATTGTTCTTGACATGAAAAGAACACGTGAATGATAGTGCTATGAAAGCTGCATGCATCACAGGGGAAAAATGAAAAAAGAATCACAGAACTTCATGTAAAATTCAAAAACACGCTTAAATATTAAAAAATTGCGGAAAAATCATGCACATCCATGCAAAACTGTGAACTTTTTTATGAAATTGACTCACCGTTCTGTGCAATAAGTAGAATAGTCTTAGACTAATAAATACAGCACAAACAGCGGAATAATCCTCCTTAAGTATAAAAGCGCTTCGTCTGTCGTGTGTCGTGTTGTCGTGTGTCGTGTGGTCGGGTCTGTATGTCTGCTCACGAAGATTCCCTAGCTCCTCGGGATCCACCTGGAGGACAGGGTCAAGTGTGGGATGGGTGGGCAGGCGCTCACGTATACAAAAGCGACGCATCAGCTAAGCGAGCCCCGCCCACAGAGGCGTGGAGGGCGTGCGAATGAATTGTTGACCAAAGACCAAGATTTCGATTCAGTGACAGAACGACCTCGAAATGGGCCAAAAGGGTTAAGGTGTGCATTGGTAAGTCACATCGAAATTAGGGGAGGACCACCCCGGTGCGGCGGAGCGTTCGCAAAAAAAGCAGTGCTTTATGAAAAATCTCATAACTCGGTTAGGAGAAAGCCTACAGAGCAGAAAACAATTTGTGTAAGGGAGGCAATGTCCTAAGTATTTCCATCATGACGTGGCGAGGCCCCCAAGAATGGGCGGGCGCGCGGTCTGAAGTGTGCACGCATTTCGGCAAGCCTCTAATTCGGGTCGGGGATGTCTTAAAGAGCGGAAAAGCGTGATGGAGGTGTAGAGTGGAGGCGCGGCGTGAGGACCCAGCTGTCAATGGTGGGCTGCGGCTTGACCAAGTGGGCGAGAGTTGGCGAAGAACATCATATGTCGGCTGCAAGGCAGCCCGGAAGGCCGGGAAAAAAGGTGGACCGGAGGTGGGTGCAGGAGTGGGAGCCAGCCTGTTCATGGTGGGCGGGGCGCTTGACCAAAGTGGCGGAGTTGCGACGGAAATTCTATGAACTCGCCTGCAAGAAGGAAGGAAAACTGGGAGGTTAGAGGTGGCGATGGAAAAGAGATCAAACTGCTCAAGAGGTCCCAAAGACCGGTGAACAAAGGTAGAGGTCGGCCGAAAGGAAGGGGCCAAATGCTATTGTGCGGCGAAGCACGCCACCGAAGTAGGCGGAGTTTGCCACGGATTTATTGTCGCGGAAGCAGTGGCGAGCACCGGAAAAGGAGAAGAATGCTGACGAAGGAAAAAGAGGTTGAAAGCCGCGATGATGAAGAGGTAGAATTTAGCCAAAATTCAGATATCGTGGTGTATCAAGCAAATTTGAAATTTCGTCGCCACCACTCAAAATGCGCCGCAAAGATCTTGCGCCGCGCAATGCGTGCGGCCGCCAACTGGTAGAATAATAAGCGAGTATGATCAAGCGCATCCTGCGACATCTATCAATT